CCTCCCAGTGACCCCTAGTGACCCCCAGAGCCCTCCCAGTGCCCCCCAACACCCACTGTTACTACACTGCTCCCCCTGCACCCACCACCCCCAACGCACCAGGCTTCCCCGTTACCCGGGCACCCCCCCAGTACCACCAGTGCCACTGCCACCCCGGTCCCTGTATCCCCCACACTCCAGTGATCCCAATATTCTCAGTACTCCCCCAGCACTTCCAGAGCCTTCAGGGCCTCTGTTATCCCAGTGCTCCTCCAGTGCTCCCAGTCTCCCTGTGCCCCCACCCCCCAGTGCTCCCAGTACACCAGAGGCTGGGAGCCACCCCTAATCCCCCGAGTGGCCCCATCCCACCCCCTCGGGTACCCCCAGCTGGTCCCTGCCTCACATCCCCTCACCCCAGGGTACTTTAATATCTATTTTGCTGTTTACGGGGGAGCCCAGGGCAGGGAGGAGGGTTGGGGTGATGAAGTGACGTTGCCAAACTCTGCGGTGACCCCGCTGCTGGTAACCAGAGGAGCTGGCAAAGCTGTAAAGACCAGCCCTGCACATTTAGGGATGGGGCAGCCCGGGTGGGGGGCACCCACCCCCCCAGAGCCACAGCAGAGACCGCACAGCCTGTGGATGAAACTGCCTTTATTGAGAAAAAAAAATGGTTTGCTACAAATAAGTCATTGATTTTAATTATTCTTCTTCAAAAAAAAAACAAAAAACACCCCAAAACAACAACCCAAACCCAGGTACCTCTCGTTTAAAAGTCCTAGTTATGCAAAAGGAAGTCGGGGGGAACACACCGACGGGCAAGGCGGGGAGAGGCAGGAGCTGCTGAGCAGCCCCTGGGCCTTAAAGTGCTTTACAAAAGCAGCTGTTGCTGCCCCTGCTCGGGCATCATGGGGCAAAGAGGAGGAGGAGGAGGAGGAAGGAGGTTAACAGCATTGTCCCCGAGGGAGGGAGCTGCCTGCAACTGAGAGCTCTGGTGGAGGGACCCAGGTGTCCCCAGCTGAGGATGGACCCTCCTGGGTCCCTTTTGGGAGATGCCAGCACTCTCCATCCCAGCAGGGACACGTTGTGGTGCCAGCCATGCCGTGCTGCTGAGGGAGGACCCTGTGTCCCCCCCTAGCCCAGCTGGAGGGAGGGGAGTGGAGGGTCTGCACGCTCCTCCTAGGGCTGCGGGTGGCATGTGGGAGCTCCCAGCCCCCCAGAACACCCAGGACTGATTAGATCAAAGTATAAAACGAGATAGTATTGCTAGAGCAGAGCTGGAGCCAGGTCTGGGAGAAGCCACTTCCCTGAGCAGAGACACAGAGGGATTGCTCTCCCACATCCCTTCCCTGCAAACCCCTGCTGGAAAGTGGCACAGCGGGTCTGCAGGTCTCGTGGTGCATCACCACCTCCCTGCAGATCCTCTACCCAAAGCCTTGGGCTGAGAAGATACCCCTTCCAGGGATGCCTCCTCCCTGGAAGTGTTCAAAAGGCAGGTTGGATGGGGCTTGGAGCAACGTGGTCTAGTGGGAGGTGTCCCTGACCATGCAGGGGGTTTGAACTGGATTATCTTGGAGGTCCCTTCCAATCCAAACCATGGTGTCCCTTCTGCCCAGGCACCACCTTGTGTGGGGACACATCTGTACCAGTCACCAGGACACTGAGGAGCATCTGGGTCCCTTTTGGGAGATGCCAGCACTCTCCATCCCAGCAGGGACACGTTGTGGTGCCAGCCATGCCGTGCTGCTGAGGGAGGACCCTGTGTCCCCCCCTAGCCCAGCTGGAGGGAGGGGAGTGGAGGGTCTGCATGCTCCTCCTAGGGCTGCGGGTGGCATGTGGGAGCTCCCAGCCCCCCAGAACACCCAGGACTGATTAGATCAAAGTATAAAACGAGATAGTATTGATCAACCTCTGCCCAGATACGCCCTATTCCCAGGAAGATGCAATCCCCTGTCTCAGGAGGATGAGATGCCTGGCACTGGGGATGAGATCCCACAAGGGCAGACATCCCTCCTGCACACCCACAACCCAGCAGCTCTGCACCAAGCACCAGCACCCCACAACCAACCCACCTGCTCCTCCACAGACAGAATCCACTGCTCCAGACCCCACCCTGTCCATCCAGGGCCATCACAGAGCTGTCTCCAGGGATTTAAGCCATCCTGAGCCCGACCACGTGTCTCGGAGCAGCTCAGAGCACAGCTGACCAAGCGGCTGAGAACACAAGTGGTGACACTGCTCCTCCAAAAAGCAGCCCAGAGAGGTGCTGGCTCTGACCCGACCTCTCTGCATCACCACCCACCTGTGGAGAAACACGTCAAGGCAAAGAACAGCCCAGAAATAACCAAAGAGGACACCCACGTGCTCCCCACCACCCCCACAGAGCCCCACTGGCCCTGGCTCTGCCTCCCACGGGACTGCAGATCCACAGCACGTTGCTTTGTTTGGGGGGCTTCTTTTTGTTGCTTTTGTTTGTTTGTTTGTTTGCTTGTTTTCTTTTTCTTTGTTAAAAAATAGACTTTCTTAATAATGTTCCATAAAAATACTCTGGTCCCTGGTGCCCGATATTGCAGCGTGGGGAGCAACAGCTTCGGTTCCCGCTCCACAAAACCCGGGAATAGATTCGTGTAGAAAAAGGCAAGAACTCCAGTATCACAAGAGCCCGGTACAAAAGGAGGAAGGTGAGAGGTTCACCAGACGCTGTCCCCGCTGACTCCTCCTCCGCAGCCATCAGGGGGCACACCAGGGCAGCCACCTCGCCCCCCAGCCCAGCAGCAGCAGGCAAAGGAGGCAGCTCCAGCCTGAAGCACGGGGGGGAGACTGGACAGACTGGGATGTCTCTGGAAGGAGCTCTGGAGAGTTCATCAAAAGATGCTCCGTGCCCTTTTGTTTCGGTTTTCCTCTTCAAGCAGGAGGTGGATGGCTGCAGTTGCAAAGTGGGGCATTTCTGCATAAAACATCTCACGGTTTTACGTACCTATTCGGTGGCAACAAGAGGGCATGAAGACCAAACGGTGCCCAAAAGCATCTAATAATAAATAGATCTGGATACAGGGAGATACTCCGTGCACGGGTATGAAATGCCCAACCCAGCAAGGGCTCCTCTCTCCTCCCAGGCTCTGCTCACTCACCAGGTCCGGTGCTGTCACTCCAGAGACTCCACTTTCCCAAACAAAGTGGGATTTTGCCTGGAGAGGAGAGGGAAGAGAGGTGGCAGCAGGTCTCCAGGAGGGGTTGGTGAGCTCCAAGTGTTGTCTCCAGTAAGAAGGAGTGTGCAGGAGACAGGGTGAGGGGCCCAGACTGATGTTCCACAACCAGCCTCAGTTCTCAGAGAGAGACAATGCCAGGGCAGCCTGCAGTGCTGCCTCCTCATCGATGTTATAGTCCTAAAAAGAGAGAGGGGCGGTCAGGAGAGCTGGCAGGGTCTCCAGCAAGCAGGCAGGGAGGCCGTGGCCCCTCCTGTTCCTTATTGTCCCCTAGAGCCTCCATCTCCTCCAGCACACAGGTCCCAGGAATGGCAGGTTTTTTGGGGTGTCCTTTGTGCCCAGGGTCCCTCTCCTGCCTGGAATCTGCCCATGTCAGCCCTGCTCTGAGAACAGGAAGAGATGAAACAGACTCACACAAGAAGCTGTGGCCAAAGGGCAAAGCTTTCTAGCAAGGCCACAGGTTTCTCCAGCCCTCTGGGCTGGGTTTGTGCAACACAGAGATCACCCCTTAAGGGGGGGATTTTTGTCTGTAAATAGTTGGGAGTTTCCTTTCCCTGAAACCTAGTGGCCCTGCAATAAAAGCAGGGTGCTGCCAAACCCTCCCCTCAGCCCCTGCAGCCAAGGCTGGGCAACCCCCACACGGGAGGGGTCAGCAACCCAAGAGGGGGGCCGTGGAATCCCTCCCACGTGCAGCAGTCAGACCCCCCAAAAACCCTAGGGCTGGGCTGCTCCCCTTCCACCACTCCTGAAGCCTCAAAGAAAAGAGCTTTTGTGTCACAGTTCCTCAGGGGAAGAATTTAATGGAGCATATGGAAACAACCCATCTTCACAGAGTGGCATAACATTTCCCTCTCCTCCTTCAGAGACATTCTCCTGGTGAGTCTGATGACAACCACCCCCTGGGGCAGGTGGGGAGCCCAGCCTGACACCCTTGGGGGTCCTGAGTGGGGCTACACGTGTGCCACGTGCCTCCTGCAAAGAAATATCCACCCCCTTTCCCTCCCGAGGGGCTGTACAAATGAACAGGCTGGTCCCAGCACGGGAAGGGAAGGGCTGGTTCCATCTCCTGGCTACTGAACCCAGGAAACACAGGGAAGATGTTTCAGCTCAGGGCTGTACTCACCACGAAGGTGTCGTAGGAGAACTTGTGCCTGTGCAGGAGGTGCTGGAGGAAGTTGGCGCTTTTGTAGCTGGGGTCCCCCCAGGGCATGGCTGAGCAGACTGGGCACACCTGCAGCAGGCAGGGACAGCAGGAACCGTGACTCCTGGGGACAGACCCCCCAGCTCTGCCTCCCAGAGAGGCAAGTAGTGGCCTCCCCTTTCTGACAGAGGCTGATCTGCAGAGGTTGTGCTAAAGAGGGGGACCCTCAGCCCCCCCCCAGGCAGATCCCTGGGTGCACAGAGCCTCTGGCACGTGGCCCAGGCTGCTTTTACCTCACTGAGAAGTTACACGCACGTGTGAGCACCTCTGAGATGGTGTCAGAGCTGCACGTTCCCCACCTCGGTCAACTCAGTGAGGCAGGGGAAAGGAAATCCTGCACCAAGGGGGTGGCAGGTACAGGGGGGTGGAGGCAGCCTCCAAAGGCAAACAGCAGCAGCATCTCCCATTAAAGGGACTTAAACCAAACAAAACCAGCTGGAAACCCAGCTGTGCTTCACAGGCGGCAGCAGCTCTGCGCGCCGGTGGCTTCGGATGCAGCATCAGCTGGGGTGTGTTTGGCTTTCCAGGAGGTACCCCAGACAGAACCAGCCTGCCCCAGTGTCTCTCACCACTTTGTTGGGGTCGTTGCGGTGGTTTTCCATGCAGTGCTTCACCAGCTCCTGCTGGTCCAGGTTCCGGGCCCCGCAGTACGGGCAGACGAACGTCGAGCGATTGGGAATATTGCTAAAAAAACAAGCCAGGACGAGCTCAGATCCCCCGGGAAGGACCTGGATTGACTCCTTCCAACCTAACCCAGCCCCTGCTGGGCTTTGTACCACCCGCCACGTGACCTACCCAACGTACCTGGGGATGGGCTGGGAGGTGGGGACGACGGGGACGAACTTGGGGCAGTTGGCCATCTGCTCCTGCACCTTCGCGCAGGACGAGACGTGGGAGCGCATCTTGGCCAAGGTCACCTGGAGAGCAAGGAGAGGAGACACATCCCCAGGGGCTGCGACACCTTCGGGACACTGAGAGGCTCGGGAGAGCAGTTTTGGTCAACTGGTCTGTGCAGGATGAGCCCACAGCGGTGTGGGAATGCTGCAGCAGTCCCTCCTCCCTGGCAGGACAGAGGCTGGGGTTGCACTCTTGCAGCACGTGTCCCCACGGGTGACACACAAGCCACCCAGGCTGTGTTATTGTAACAGGAGGTCCACTTCCCTTTGCAAGAGAGGAACTGCTGACGGGTGGAAGCCCCAAAGTGCTCTGACACCGTGCGGGAACATTCCTGGACAGCAGCCAAGGAAGATCCCCAAAGTTAATGGAAGGCAGAAAACACAGCAGCAGAGAACACAATGAAAAACAGCTTTCCAGCCAGTCCCTGAAACGTCCCAAGGCCAGGCAGCCCCGAGCTGGGCCAGCCCACATTGCTAGTTCAGCTCCCCTGAAGCCGTTGGGATCACGGCACCCCAATCCTCACCCCGTTAGGAGCAGCAGCAGAGCTGGTTTGTCTCAGCCTCTCCTGTGAGGCAGGAAAACCTCGACCTGCTTTTGAAGGTCCCCACTGTCTAATAACAGCTCCAGTCTGCTGGCAAAGGAGGGAGCACCTTCACCTGCCCTGACACGCGGAGGGGCCACCACACCTCACAGGCACGGCCCTGGGGGGCAGGAACCTGCAAACCCAACTCTGGAGGGCAATCAACGTCCTCTCCCCTACCCCCTGACCGCAGGGCAGGGGACAAGCAGCCTCCCCCCCCACCCCTCCCCCTGGCAAGCTTTACCTTCTTGCTGCAGCCTCTGCAGGGGGCTTTGTAGGACGAGAGCTGCTTCTCCAGGCTGGAAGCCTTTTCCACCTTCTTGGGGTCGAAGGGCACGCGGCAGAGCGGACAGAGCGGGGAGGGAACCTGCAGGCAGGGCTGGAGGCACTC